CAACAGGGAGAGCAAAGGATGCTCGTGGCATTCAGACTGCTGATGCTGCATCTGCAGAACCACAAAGGCCATGTCCTGCTTTCCCACGGTGGTCCTAGTATGTCAGGCCTTTGGATGGCTTTCCAGATGTGCCACATGGTACACAGATTAATTCAAGCAGAAGCATCTGGAGACTGAAACTATCTGGTATGAGAACAGCTATGACTGGTCCTAAATGTTCCCAGAATCACAGAATAGCTGAGGTTTCAGTCCACCTCACTGCCCACTTAGCAAGCCCATACTTCATCAGCTTGTCTGTGAGGATGTTATGGAAGACAGTGCTGAAAGCCTGGCTATCAGGTTGTCTAAGCACAATTTCCCCTTCATAAATCCATGCTGACTGCTCCCTATCACTTTTTAGTATTTGATGTGTTTGCAAATGGTTTCCAGGAGGAAATTCTCCATCACCTTCACAGGTTTTGAGGTGGGCCTGGCTGGCCTGTGGTTCCCAGAGCTTCATTGTTGTTCTCCCTGAAGACAGGAGCAACATTGCCTTCTTCCAGTCTTTAGGAAACTCCCAATTTCAAAGATTCACAGTGACACCTGCCAGCTCTTTCAGCACTCATGGGTACATCCCATCAGGGCCCATGGACTTACGTATATCGGATTTGTTTAAGTGCTCCCTAACGTGGTTCTCCTGCATCAGTGGTGAGTCCTCCTTGCTCCAGGAGGTGAGCAATGTGTTGGTGCAGTTTACCTTGTGAAAGACAAAAACCCCATAGTGCCTGGGGACTGCAGCAGCTCAGGGAGAAAGGGACACTGTATTGAATCGGGGCCAGTCTGCATTGCTTGCACAAGATCCAGGTCCAAACTGCTTAGGGTGTTCAGATGTGCAGTGTTAATATCCTATTCATGCTCTACTTTGATTACTGATTACATCTATTTTTAGTCTGACACCAGCAGACAGCCTTCATTTTTTTTCTTCCTAATCCTTCTCTGCCTCCCCTGGGTCTCTGCGCCAGTCGCTACCCTGCCATGTAAAGCCTGTTCCTGGCACAGACAAGGCATATCCCTGATGACATCCACCACAGGGGCCGCTTCTACATTTTGCTTGCAATAAAGTAAAACACATTAGATGGTCCCATTCTAACTCCTTTACCGTAATTACTTAAAAAAACCCAGATGACTACACTGAGGGGAAGCAGAGCACAATTTCCAGGAGTACCAGACACACGGACTAATAAACGTCCCAAAGGCCGTGAGGAAAGAAAAGCTTTATACAATTACTCACAGTGTATCTCCTAAAGCTTCCTCAGCTGGAGTCCTTTCTACCACCAGCAATTTGACACACTTGTTTTTGTTTAAAAATATAGAGAATGCTTTCAGGACATAGCCCATAACCTTGCAGTTTATATAAAGCAGTTTATAGCCTCAGTCTGCCAAAGGAAAGGGGCTTTGTACAAGGTGTTGAAAATTAAAACCTCTGTCTGGGCTCAGTCTGACCTGAAATTCTTTTCACATGCAAAGGTAGAGGCCCTGGGGAGAGGAAGGCCAGAAGAAATGCAGGGTATGTGTCCAGGGCTGGAGACAGGTGGGTCAAGGCCCTGTTCTGCCATCTCATCTCCCCATTGGGATGACTTACACAGAAGCATTTCCCTTTCTCACAATGATATTCTGAGGATAAATAGACTGAAATGGATGTGTCCAGCTGTTGCCTTGTATTATTAAGATAACTGCTTCTATGTCTAGATTTCATCTTCAGGTGCTGCGTAAGTCAAAAAAACCCCATAAAAAATGTGTTTCTATAAGATAGAGTCTGGCTAGTGTAGCATTCTGAGCAACATTGCTGTGCTTCTCTGATGGACTCAGAAGAGCCCTTGTGTATAAAAATATTTCCTTCGGAGCAAGCGTAGTGTAATCACTGAATCACCAAAGAATTACCCCTTAAATACTGAGGCCAGTGCTTTCAAAGCTAAGACCTTGGGAAAGCAGCGAGTGCAGACCATCCATGCTATGTAGGGATATTTGCGTAAGCTTTGGCAGTACAGCCATCTGAAACGCTGATAAGCCAGAACAAAACATTTTACCTGGGTAATCATCCATATCCTGACCTCCTTGCATCCCTGCTGCCTTCCTAATATTTTACTGTGCCTTGTAGAAAACCATTTTCTGTAGCAGAGAATAAGGTTACAGAGTTACCTATGGGTGGATCCTCATATATCAATTGGTGTTTCTTCATGAAGCTACCCTGAATCACCTCAGTGTTCAGTATATTTTCTTAAAATTGCAGAGGATAATGCATCTAATGCCATCTTGTACCTCTGATTCTTATCGCTGCCCGGTTGGGCACAATACATTAGAGCTGTTTAAGAGAGCCTTAAAGCAATGACATATATATTTCTTTTCACATATCCCAGACACATTGCAAAAAGCCATATTTTTGAAGGTTAGAGCTGGGATTAGTATCTTCATATTTTGAGCCAACCAGATATAAATTTGGCATCGTATTGACCCACTGTGCTGATTGTACCAAAAGCGGAGGGAGCTGCTGCCAGTACAGAAGTCACTGCAAGAACAAGGAAAGGTCAAACTGACCCTGGCAGCTTGTAAATCTGGAAAGCCTTTCTGCATTTAACTTTAGAAAAATCGTGAAGCCTTAATTTCCTCCTTTTTAAAAAGGAATAATTTGTTCTCCTTTAGCCTGAAATGTGTTCCTCTCAGAAACATACTGGGTGCAATGAATGCTGCATGAATGGGGGCTGAGGGTCCCCCCCAAACTGTGGGACAGTCCTGGGTGCACAGGAGTATGAGCACAGGAGCTGCAAGAAGGCACAGCCCTGCAACAGCAGGCAGCTGCTAAGTGGAGCTGTGCTTGCAGGAATAAATTTCATTTTGGAAACCTTTTGGTCCAGACTTGAAGAAAACCAACAAAATACTTCCTGCTTCTCAGGCAGGAAGACAGGTTTGGCAGTAATCGTCTTTTAGGGAGGTTTGGTAGTAACAGTCCTTTAGGAAATCCATGAAACTCAGTAACTGAACACTACACGTCTTCAAAGACTTGAAGAAAGGATTGATCTGTAGGAAAGAAAATCAGATATGAGGAAAAAAGTGCTAACAGTTGGGATGGTGAAGCCGAGGAACAGGTTATGGGATTGGTTATCAAATCCCCTCTGCTGGAAGTTTTTAAGAACAGAGGAAGGGGGTAGTGGGTGTAAAGGGAACTGATGGTACTTCGGCGCAGGGACAATGTCTGAGGAGCCTCCGAGCCACACATCTGTAAGGTACCATTGCTGAAGGGCGATGCTGGCAGCAGTGCAGTGGAGAGGCAGGAATTCAGAGAGGAGAGATGAGACAGAGCAAGAAGGCAGTGGGCAGGGCCCATGTCCTGCGAAGTCCCTGCTGGTGCGACCGGTTTGGCAGTTGCAGAGGAATCTCAGCTATGGGACATGCAGCCTCAGGGGACCTGTCTCTTGTCCTGCAGCTCACCTCCTGAAGTACAAGTGCTTACAGCTCCTATTGATTTACCTTTTTTTGCCTTAGAGGTGGAGGTTGTTATTACCCTTGATCAAAGTTTCCTTCTCCAAGTTACTGATCCAAACAATAATCATAAAACACACAAAGTTTGATATTAGTGCGGTAGTAACTCACAGATAAATAAAAGTTTGGTGAACTGACCTTCACATACAACAGCGGACTGTCATTTTGTGATCTACATTTAGATTTTTTTCCACATAAAGCAAAGCACTACACATCTCGTTTCACAAATTGCAATAAACATTTTGAAACACTCTATAAGTACAATTTGTTCTTGTCTCATAAATATCTCTGAACTCCACCCTTCACAATGAGAGAGTTTTTGCTATTAACTAATACATTCCAAAGTATTTTCAAAAAGATGGAAACTAAAAAGATGAAAACAAGAAAAAAAAAAAAGAGGAATGATAAGACTGAACCTGTTTTATGGACACAAGATACACCACAGTCTGAGGTACTGCAAAGTTTTTATTGCCACTTGTTTTGTAATACTCTTCTCCCAGACTCCTCCCAGTAAAAGGTTTATTTTCCCTCCTACCACCAAGGCACAGCTTACTCCACAGGCAGGACAGGGCAGGGCATGGCTGGGACCCCCAGCTGGGCAGCCCGTGCAGCTGAAGGTCTCTGCCTTCACGGTGGTTGAAGGAACCAGCCACGAAATGTGGCTCTAGACATGACATCCCTCAGCTCTTCCTTGCAGTGGGGACGTGTGTCAGTGCCTCCCTCTGCGGTGCGAGGGCCGGTGGCCCCTGACAAAGAAAGACTTTTTACCAAGGCCTGTAGTGATAGAACAAGAGGTAATGGTTTTAAACTGAAAGAGGGAAGGTTTAAATTTGACTTAAGGAGGAAATTTTTTTACAAGAGTGGTAAGACACTGGAACAGGTTGCCCGGAGAAACTGTGGATGTCCCCTCCCTGGAAGTGTTCAAGGCCAGGCTGGATGGGGCTTTGAGCGATGTGCTCTAGCGAAGGGTGTCCCTGCCCACGCCAGGGGAGTTGGACTAGATGGTTTTTGAAGGTCCCCTCCAATCCAAACCATTCTGTGATGATTCTATACAATACATTCGCAGGGCTGGTGCAGAGGAGGGACTTAGATCATTGTGTGAAGAAGCCGGAAGAGCTCAGAGGGTTGCACACAACAGTTGTGATTCCTGAGGTCATCCCTCTGCACCCGCCACAGTCCCACAGGCTTGAAGAAACTGAATATCAAGGGAGACTGAAATGCTACCAAACCAGAATGGCAGCAAGGTAGTCTGCAAGAAGAGCTGATACCTTTTATTAGATCAATGAAATAGTGGGGGGAAATGTAACCAAAAAAAAAACCAAAAAACCAAAGATAAGTCTTCAGGTATGAAAGCCCCTCCTGAGGCCTGCAAGAGGAGCTGAAGAGGGAATTGGTGTGGTAGCACTTTCATATCTGTGTTGCAGTGGGGATGGAGAATTGGGCCCGTTGCCAGAGGATGTAGGAGAGAGGACAGTTAAACCCAGTCACCGTAATGGGTACGGGTTAAAAAACGTGTTGTTGTTGCAGTAGTTGAGATCCATACGGCACCCTCCCTCACTCCTGTCTCCTTCGCTTCCCCTCGGAGGCGCCGAGAGCTGGCAGTGGTGTCCTGCCCCACTCGCCATGGGGCAGGGGCCCCCCTGAGGCGCAGGGTAGGGCGGCGGAGGGAGGCAGCTGTTGCTGTAGGCCAGCGGGGATTTCTCCTCACAGAATTCATCCCCCAAAGGACCACCATTAGGCTGGAAGGTGTCATGGCCACCCTTTGTCGCGGGCAGGACGTGCTGGGTGCCAGGGTGGGCACAGTGCCAGGGGGAAGGGGCTGCACAGGGCGGCCCAGCGGCAGGGACGGCAGGGCCACCGCAAGGCCTCCTGGCGCTGGGGGCCCTCCCGAGGGCTGGGCTCCTGCTCCAGGTTGACGCCTCTCCGGAGTCTCTGAACTCCCCAGCTGCCCTCACGTATGGCAGCCGCCCAGAGCAGCTGCCAAGCGTTGGCTCTTGGGTGCTTTTGGTTACATGTTCCCCAGGTAGCATGTAAAAATCCGGCTTGGAAAGAAGTGAAGGCAAAGCCTCCCGCATTGGCATCGCACCTGTCAGAGACTTGGGAAAGCAAGGTGTGGTTTAGTAAAACAAGGTGTAGTCTGGCAGCACAAAATAAAATCTGTCCTACATGAGACCCTCATGATACGTTCAACTAATACAGGTAACGAAGCAGATGCCGCAGCAGCCCCTCCTTGTAGGGTAGTGCCAGTGGGCTTTAGGAGCAAACCAGACAGGTCTCCCAGATCACAGATCTGGGTTTGTTTCACCAGTTTTTGCCCAAAGCTTGTTTTACACTGGAAGAATTGTTAGACCTCGCATTCACAGTCCTTGGGGTCTGCTGACAGCATGTACTAAGGAAGTACCTGAAAATGAAATTATGCCAATACATTTGACACTGCAGAAACATTTTTTCTATAGAGTTTGGAAAAGATAAGTATGATTTTTTTAAACTCATTGTTTTGAAGTGATATTTTCATGACAATAATATGCTTCAGTTTTTCAAGATTTTACTTCTATTTCTAACTGATAAATTTTCCTATCTTTACAAATTTTTTTTGCCCCACAAACAGAAATTTCATTCAGGGAGGGAGAGGCACACAAGAGTTATTCTTCTGGGTCTTTTGTTCTGGATATTTCACAACTTCTTTAATTGCCCTAATTATTGGATTATAATTTCCCAAACTTTAATTCCTTTCAGAATACTCTTTCTGTGCTGTCAGTTCTGATGAGTACTTACAAGTCTCTCTTCTTTGTAATTCTGCTTTTGCATCCATTTAATTATAGTGATTTTGCTGACTGCCAGACTATCAAAGTTCCTTTTAGCCGTTCTCCACACACCATGATAAGAAATTCCAACCACCTGATGCAGGACCCAGCCCACCTTCAGCTAAAGACACGCTGACGCCGTAGAGAAAACATCCTACGTATCACTTGCTCTATTTCGGGCTCACATGTTTTTTCTAAAGTTCTCCTCCCTGGTCTCTTGTAAGCACATTAAAATTTAATCTTTTCAGAAGTCTTTCTGCAGATTCAGCGACACAGGTTCTGCATGCCAAATCAGACTCCTGGGTTAGTTGCATCACAGCCAGTCTTGGCAGAACATGAATATGATGGGTTATTCCGCAAAAAAACCTGCCAGGGAGCCATGAACTGGAAAGCCTGCTGAGGCTAAATGGTATCACTCCTACTGCACAGAGTCAGACCAGCAATTAGATATTTATGACATCTTTGGTCTGTTCCTACTCACACACAATTTGAAGTGAAAACACCAGGAAGATGTTGTAGGAGGGGGAAGATGAAGACATGCCTAGAGGGAACTTGCCCTCAGTAAAACAAGTAGCGTTAGGTATAAAAGAAAAAAAGCCATGAGGCTCAGTAACATGTTCTAGGTGAGAACTATTTCAGTGTTCATGGGAACAGAATTAAACCGGTGATAAGAAAATAATTATTTCTATATTTGTTCGAGACTTACACAGTGGCTCAGCTGCTTTTTCTTATGCTCATGTTCCCAGGTGCTCATGTCAGGAGGCTACCACCAGTCTGTCCTGTACTCTCTGACTGTCCCATCCCAAGTCAGTGTGTCTCCATGAGAGTCACTCCTGAGTTCCGGTTTTTAGCATCCTCCTGAGTATTTCCAGTAGAAATAGCTGCAGCTCCTAAATTCATATTCCATTTAAATGGGATTGACTTTCTCTGTTCACTCTTTTAATCTCCTTCTTGGGCTCCTGGATTCCCCTGCTTTCCCGTGTCATCCATTTAAGAAGTCTGTCCCCATCCACCCCAACTATCCCTTTTCCCTGTAGCTGAAGGGGCACTGATTACCATCCCAAACACCAGGCTGGGGAGGATGCACCACCTCTAGCACGTCAAAAGACAAACTGCATGTGAAGACCAGTGGTGTACAGTTCTGTGTATCACAGCCTTTGCAAGGAAGATCACTGGAGACAGCCTCGTTGCTCTATCCAGTTCCCTCCAACAGGCCCATGGCCATCCACAGGATCTCTGGAGATGCTTTCACAAGTGTTTCCACACCCAGCAGAGCTGATGTTTTAACATTAGTGCTTCTGTAAGTCCTTCAAAGCCCTCTTCTGCCTTCAAAGCCCTCCTGGAGACCCAGGGAGCAAGTGGGGCACACCAGGGAGAAGTGATGCACCTTCCCCTTATCAACCCTGGCCAAACCCAGGAGGGATGAGCAGCGGTGGAGTGTGCCTTTGCTTTTCTGCAGCACCTCCTCCATGTCAGTGGAGGACCTCGGGAAACATGTCAATGTGGAGAAAACTTCTCACTGTCTCTCCAAGTGTGGGGCAGTGCCTCCTGCACCTGAGGGTGCCCTCACAGCCCTTGAGGGTCTGCAGGTGGCTGAATCCTGCTCAAGGGCAGCTGCCCTGCAGGAGAGCATCTCTCTCCCTGATGGGCATTGAGTCTGTGAATAAAATGATCCAGGCCTGATACTGAAGTAACTGGGTTTTCTTAATTAAAGGTTGGGGAACCGGAGGAAGAAGGAGTAAGGATTTCTGGATCTACCTGGTTAATGACAAGTTTGTTTTGTCAAGATACCATTCACAGTATATGACAGGCATATCATATAGGTAATGTTATATATTGTATTCTATAGTAAAGTGGTATACAGTATGTGTGTGTGTATGTGTACACACATAGATGAATCTTCCTTCTGACTTCAGTTACTGCTAAAAGCATTTCCCAGTTTTCAAGTGTTCATTTGTTACAATTTTCTCATGGGGTGATGCAATCAATACCATAAGTTAAATCCAATTAAATCCTTATAGTATTCTCCTTCAATGTCAATATCGATTAGACTAAATATCTAATTAGTTTATTCCCAGATTTCTTTCTAAATAATTTAATTTCTGGAGCAGGACTGACAACTTGTAGGAAATTTTTCTAAAGGCAACTCTTGCATTTAAAAAGGGAAAGAGCTGGGGTTGTAAAGCTACGTCCATGCTGTTAAATAAAATGAGGCCAAGGACTGTTGTTGGTAACAGGGACCAAAAAGCATGGCCTGGCAGTGTCCACAGTACATTCTGGCCTCGGGTGACCTCTGGACCTGAAGTGAAATGATGCAAGCGCTGTGTTGCAGCCCACCAAGGGATATTTTTCACAGCATCAGCTTGAGATTCTTATGGCCTGTAGCATGACAGCATGCAGGAGCACAGGTAGCTTCAAAACCAGCTCTGTGCAGTGAAGGGACCTGAACGTGATGCAACCTTGTCCAAAATTCTGCCAGGGAATGGTCCCTGGCACGTGCTGTCCTCCTGACTCACACCAGGGCATTTTGCCTACGAGCATGAGTAAGCACTGGCCAAATCCACGGCAATGACCATGTAAACAGTGACATGACTGAACGTGCCCTTCAGCCTTGCTTTGTTTACTGGTATAGATGCAACTCCCTGCTGCCACCAGGCCCAAAGAGGCTCCAGATGGGGGGTGCTGGCAGTGGATGGCAGGGCTGAGGAGAGCAGGATGCTCAGGACAGTCCTGCTGCTTCTCGGCCTCATCACAGGAAGGCAGAGTACAGAGGTGTAAAGCCTGCTCACACCCAGACCCAAAGCCCAGATAGCTTCCACTGTGCCTTGAACCATGGATCACTGACCCTACAATTTCATTGATCAATAGTAAGAGTTACCTTAGTCTCCCGGATTCTCTTTGATCGTGGAGAAGATGGAGAAAAAGCTGTCTGTGCTTTTTGTATTGATCTTCTTGCCTCTGTTTCTAGTTTTGTTTCTGGACGTGGATGGTCATGAGCTCCTTTGGACTTTAAAAAGGAATTATGATATGTTAAAGTTAGAAACAACATTTATATTAATCTTAAGGGAGCAGAATTTGTAGCACAGACCAAAACCACATATATGGCCTGCTTTAATGCTTTGTATTCAATAAGACTTATTTAACGTGAGCTCAACTAACAGTGAATGAAGGTGAAGGATGATGGGGTAGAAATTCTCTGAAAATATAAAACCAGTGCACCATATTTATATGTAGAAGAGACTCCCCACACTACAGAGCCAGGTGAAGCCACAAGGTCTTCTGCAGCCTGGCTACAGTGTCCCTGCAGTCATTCCCATTCTTCTCACACTTTAGACGTGTTCATCAGAACATTACTTTCCACTAGCTTCTACAGAGAATTAATTTTATTTAACCTGCACATAAGCGAAAGATGGCAAAACAGGAGACTGTTCAGTGGTTATGGTACTAGACTAGGACTACAGCTTCCAGAAACAGTGCCTGCTGTTTAAACACTTGCATACACTGGTTTCCAGATATAAGTTACATATAATGCACAGATGGCATTTTCCATAGACAGTCCCTTGAGTACAACCATTTCCTGCTCTAAGACAGCCTCATGCTTATGTGTGGTGCCTTGGAAAAGATGTTGAGATAACATGGCATTTCTGACTTTTTGAGGATTTGTTAGTTTCGATGTACCTGAGGCAAAGTGCTTCAAAATCAACAGGTTTTTATGGGAGGCTAAATGAAAAATATAGTATGCTGTAAAATCATAGTAGCATAGGCTAACTTAGGTTGGAAGGGGCCTCTGGAGGTCTAGCTCAACCTCCCGCTCAGGAGGACTAACTTCAGAGTTAGATCAGGTTGCTTAGGACCTTGCCCACTCATCATGAAAATTTTTCTCCTAACAGCTATTTGACCTTGTCATATTCGATGACCCTTGTTTGCTGGAATAAAAAATGTCCTTAATCAATCTTAAAAAGCAGTCTTAACTTGTAAGGTAATTTTATACCAACCTGAAAAAATATGAATTGACCTTCATGCCTCCAGAAGTTGGTAACTGGGTAACCACCATGGCCTCTACAGGAAAGGAGCCTCAGAGGTCCACTGCAGTTTGGACAGCATTTCCCTGGAGCAAAGATGGTGGGAAATATTTTCTATACAACACCAATCAGATGAATCCCATGTGGTACAATGGTTCCTTGGTGGTCGATTGACATTTCTGGTTTGGGGCTCAGAAATTACACTGAGAAAAACTATGCAAAAAATTTTCAAATGTAACCAAAAATCAATATGAGCAAACTAATAATTGCTTTTATTCTGCTCCATTATTAAATATAACTGGAATAAAATATTTCTATTGTAGCTTTATTATAATTTTATTATTTATTATCATGTTCAATTTTAGTTGTTTTTAACTTGGCAGCATCTGTAATGTCATATGTGTTCTTGTCTGATTTTTCTAGAGGACATAATTCTGACCTCAGTGAGTGCTTGAGTAATACCTTTCTTTAGACAAAATGTTCATTAAATCCAGAAATCAGAGTGTACTAGCTCTACTGAGCAATCCACAATTGTTTGGAATGCTCTTGTTAAAAATGCGCATGCAGCTCATGTTCTCTGTTTGCATTGTCTTGCTCTGGTGATGACTATTTTCCAGTCGTCATAGTTTATGAACAACTTCTTTCCTGCAAGACTTGCCTCCTGAGTTTCTCTTCAGCTCATGCAATAATGAAGCCAGCACTCAGGTCAGCAGGTTTTAGTAGGAAGCTGCCTGCGCTGCACAGCTTTCTCAGCAGCCTCACTTATGGGACTGAGGAGGCTGGCAATCAATCTCTAGCCATCAGGAACAGACATTAAAAAAAGAAAAAAAAAAAAAAAGAAGAAAACAAACAAAACAAACAAGCAAACAACTTCTCCCCCAACAGTAAGAAATGTAAAATGCACTGTTTCAAAATCGAGAGTTGTGTTTGAATATATGGAATGGTAGTGGGAAGATTGGATAATCCAAAGGGTATCCTCTACTTTGATTTCTTTTACGTTGTGTTCACATACGAACTGCCATGTAATGAACAGCCATGCTCATACTCACGCTGTTGTTTTTGTCTAGCTTTATCACATATGGCTGGTCTTAGGTAGATCTTCCTCCCATCCAAGGTTGAGCAGTCATTGCCGCAGACCACCACCCCGAGGCAGGACTTTTTTAAGATGCGAGAGTTGTGGTTGTTGGTGTTTCTCATTGCCCAGCTGCTGTGGTGCCTCTGAGCGTTTTTATCCTCTGAGCTATAGATGTGTTTTACGTAGGAATCTGGCCATTCTTGAAACCAGTCTATCTGCCTTATGTCCTGTGGAGAGGCCAAAGCAAGCCACATTTTAGACTGGGGAAGAGAAGAGCTTGTGCAAGAGCCCAGCAGACCTCGTCCTCTGCTGGGTGCCCTCCAGCCTGAGTGACCCCAGCATCCCCACAGGTGGTGCTGTTTGGCAGGAGGGAGCAGTGGAGAGAGGGCAGAAAACTCACAGCTCCCCAAGGCTCCCCACAAGCCCCAGAGCATCAGGAAAACCTGGCCAGGAGGATGTTCCCACTCACCCATGGGTCCGGCTCAGTGCAGGACCTCACCAGGAGAGGAAGTTGGGGTGCTTGATGTAAAGTAGTAGATACTTTCCCTGCAGGGAGCAGTCACCACCTGACTAACTTCTGTTAGCTTTCATGGCAGAGATCCTGCTTTGCCTTTCAGGCTATTCACAGCAGCATTATACTGAATCACTTGGCTTGATTTGTCTCAACTCACTGGACAAAGAGCAAATACTGAATCAGATTGAGACCATGCCCACATTTGTAGGTCTTTAATTCTGGACTTTGGTTTGTTTTGGCCTAACTGCCATGAAAGACTTCCACGGTGATTTTTCTGAAGTCCAAAACAAAGAAACCTGACATCCTGCTCAGGTTTTATTTTCACTGCTGTGAACTAAGCAAAAAAGCCCCAAGGACAACACTGTAAGGAACAATAAAAATAAAACTCAATGGAAAAAGAAAACCAAAGAACAGAACACATATCACCTCAGTGGGTACAGTCAATACAGTGAACTGCAGCAAGCTATAAAGCACCTAACACACCTGCTGATGGTTTTGAGAGAAAAGGTCTTGTAGGGGTACAAAAACTTAGTAGGAATTTCCTTAAAATTGCTGATCCCAGCCACCAAGAGCCACTACAGTAACCAAAACAACAGAGAAGAGAAAAAATTC